AATTCTGCAGAATAATAATTTATATATATATATATATATACGACCGTCTTGACCAGAAGCCTTTTATTACCGCTTCTGAACTAACGATTGACAGTTCAGATCTATTCTGATACTACTATATTACTAAACAACACCATAACAAGTGTCACGTAAGTTTTCTCAACAACTAATAAAATAAAGTTGAAGAAATAGGGGCAGTGAAGGAACCTGTTAAGACATCACATGGAATTAAAGGGCACAGAAAACGTAGCTTTAGAGCAAACACTTGAACTTTCCCTTGAATCTCTTTCAACAGAAAATTGTAAGATTACAAATCAGTTATAGTAACTGAAAACGTTCTCATCCCATTCTTTGGCGGTAACCGGTAAAAATTTGTAAATTTAAATCTCTCATTATCAGCTAACTGCACAGAATATATATGTATCCGTAGCAGAAGTCGGGCAAGAAATTCTCAAGTCTATTTCTTACTCTGTACAGTTGCCCTTAAAACAAGTGAAGCCATCTCAGGAGCCAGTAAGGCAAATTTGAGAAACTATACCAAATGCACACATCACATAAAAGTAATCATTTCTTCTTTTTTTTCTCTAATACTAATTCCGTCGCAAACTCGAAAATCTCCTTGTTCTTCTTCCGTGCAGTAATCAGTTGTGACTTAAGTTTCTTAATCTGCTTCAACAACTCTGCGTTTTCTATTTTCAACGCTATAACTTCTGTTTCTTCTGAAGCGCCCTCCGCACTTTCACTTTCTTCTGAATGCTGTCTGAGTGAAGTAGCCTTAGAGTCATCACTGATTATGACTACATCGTCACCAGAATCGTCCGCCAAAGTTTTATCAGCAGCTTTTGAATCACCACACCCAAATTCACCGAGAGACCTAACTATCTGGAACATAAAGGACGTCATGCACCGCAGAAAACAATATCCCACAACAACATGTTAAAAAAAGATACTCTCCTCAGTGATCCTGCTAAATTGGCTAACAAGGGAATTCAAAATTGTGTATAAAAGCTTATGGACTACTCAACTAATCATAAAAAAAAGTTAAAATTAACCTCTACTTGCTTCTCCAATGCATCTGAAAGATGTTTACTTACCCACTCCTGGAAAAATAATCATGCGATAAACACAAGATTTTTTTTAAAATGACAAAATTAGGGTACTGTCCCCAATAAAAGAGCTAAATTTTCAAATACAAATAGGGAACAAGTAAACTTTTATGAAAAAGATTAGAAAAATGAAGCTAAATCCTGACTAACAATGGATATCCTCCCAATTAAAAGGAACATTAAAACTTTACATCAAAATTTTCACTTTTCGCCGTATTCACTGCCGTCAGATGAACCTTCTCTGGCTTACTCTGATTACTACGGGAACGCTGAAGAGAGCCAATTGCAATATCGACTTTCGGATAGTTTGGATCTTTAATGCTCTTCCAGTGAAGAATGAACTGCAGTTTGCAGATGCTACCTAAAAGGAAATCCTTCTTCTGAGTGAGAAGGAGAAAGATCTTTTAACATAAATTAAGACTGAAACCACCCTTGCTCATTTTCTTAGTATATTAACTGCCTATCATATCTAGTGTACAGTACACCACACTAGTTACTCCTAAACCAAAAAACACCAATAAAGCCTAGTACGGCTCAAGTGGTAACATCATAAGACCTTTCAGATTTTCTAACCCACAATGAAAAAGTTGAAAATTTATTCACCCGGGATCTTCTAATTGCAAAAACTTTTGGTACGATAATTAATTTGAGACGGTAGCATTTTAGAAGCATATGCCAACAGATGAAGGCATCAGAAGATACAATGCTCAAAAAAAAGGGAAGAAAGGTGGCAATAAAAGAAAAATTAGACACTAACCCTTCATTTGAACATTTTTCAAGCACTGGCGACTGACCACATCCCATATCCTGTAAACCCCACTACAATCGCCGGATGCAAAAAGTGAGGCGTCATGGTTCATAGTTATTTTCGTGATTTCACACGTATGGCCCATAAAAAAATTTGCTCCTTCATTCTGTTCGTGATAACTAATCACTTTTTCGCTAACTCCCTCCTTAAACTTTTAAAATCCAGTTTCAAGGAAAATAAGCATTAAAAAATTCACATTACACTATTTGAAAAACTTACAAACTGAAATTCTGCCTCAAAGCAAATTATGGTGAAAATTAAGGGTGAAGGACTTATAAGATTACGGAGAGCAGGAAGAATTTAATAATTACATGACTTACAAGCGAATAAAGCATGAAACGAACAATGGCACCGTCATCTGTTCCTAAAAAGACTGAAATCTCTGCTGGATCAATATACCCCGCCGTAACAGATCGATCTCCAGAAACCTAAAACCTTACTAATAAAAAACTTATCATAAGCACAAATGAAAAAAATTCATTTTTTTTTT